GGTGTATCAGCTAGGATTAGGTGTCGCACTAGTGGGGGTAGAACATCTGAACATCTCTGTTAATGTTGGATTTAGACCAAAATATTTTGATGTTAATCACCAGCTTTTTGTTCCTCATTGCTGATGTATTTGATTATGTGCCATAAAATGTGCAATTCCACCAGCTGCACAGTCTCCCCCAGATGTCTGCATATTTTGCACTACTCTTAAGTGTTAGTGAACAGATTGGTTGATAATGCCCTTTTCTGCTCATTCATTTATTGGGGGGGCAGTTTTTTAGCTTTTTAGAGGTGTTCAGGTGGTGAAATTCGTGTTGGTTTTTGCTTTTTTTTCTTGTACTCCAGGGAAGGGCAGCTCCTATCCATAGGGGGTGGATTGCTTCAGATTTTACAATTACTTTTCCTTTAACCAGTTTTAGCAGCTGGTTAAGACTACAAAAGCAAGTGCTCTGACTTCTAAGCAGTGTATATTATCTAAGGTTCTGGCTATGTCCTGCCTCCCACCTTTTGCTTGGCTCCTTGAAGCTCATGCCTGTGATGGCTTGTTTATTACAGCCTTATGAGCTTAATAAGATAAAAAAGCAACAGATCTAGTTCTGCATGGTGAACCAGAGTGCCCTGGCTTCACTTGTAAAGCTCCCAGAAATGACACACGCTTGTCGTGTGTAATACAGAATGCAAGACGGTATCGGTTTAGTTTTGTTTTGTACATGATTAATCTAACTCTGCCTGAAGACACCTAATTAGTATGTTATCACAAAAAGAAAACAACAATCATATGTAAACCGAAGAACTGTCCATTGCAAATTAGCCGTTCTTTTCAAATGGCCTTTCTGTGGTGGACAGCTAATTAAAACTACCGAGGCTGAAGCGGAGTGCAGCTCTGCACATGGTGTTGGTGGATACCAGGGCTCTGTTAAATAATCAGATCTGACATCATGGCGTCTTTTGAAAACCACCACAGGTCCCACAGGGCTATAGCAGCCCCCCGAGTGGAGGAAGATCCACAGACCCCACTGCGTGTCCTGTGAGCACTCGTGATTCAGTCACTCCTCATCTGAAATGAGTGGATCTGTTATCTGCTGCACTCTGTTCTCATGTGCTGCTGTACATCCACTAATGAAAAATGCCTGAAGCTTGTTTACAAAATGAGAGCAAAAAAGTAAAAGAAAATCAGAAAGCAGCAGGCTAATGAAACCCTGTTAATCCTGAGCAAGACCATGAGTGTGCTTATGCCTGTGTTTGTGTTGTCATTAGATGCAGGTGCTTGTGAATGAGGTGGAAGGCCTGATCAGGATGAGTTAGGCTGTGATTCAGTCTTGCTGTGCTCCCAATACTGACAATTCGGATCAAGATGCATCTGTAACAAATACTCCTGGGCTTCAATTCAGCTACATCTGAAATGCAGTATAATTACGACAATAAGGAGATGGCTGTGTGGTGTCAAAGTCTGATATTCTGATGATGTTTTTACTCGTACAGAAGTGCCCTGCTGCATACTGTGAAATGTGGGCTGCTTTCCTTGCTCCCTTTTGAAATCTCAGAGCTAAAGAGAAGCTTCTCTCTGTGTTCCAATATTCTATATAAACCACCTGTGGCCCTGGTGTGAACCTGGTTGAGTCCCTGACATTTTTTTTCTAAAGATCCTGTAATCACATTCACATTGCTGTTAAACCTTGTACATGTGAAAGCAGATGTTCCCTATCTCTCTGTAGCGCTCTGAGGAGCCTCTGGCTAGAAAGAGCTCTAATTTGACTTCACCTTCAGTAAACACTGCAGCACAGTTTTCACGTCCAGAGCAGGGACCAGCTCTGTGTCACTGTTGTTCTAATACACAGAGAGGGGGGGAGGGAGGAAAGCAGGAATGGAGATGGAAAGAGACATGTAAAGAGAGGGAGTGAAAGAAAAATGAAAAGATGGGGGAGGTAGAGGGAGATAAGAGTGCTGTGTGAAAGCAGAAGAAAAGATTCACAGCTCTTTGATCTTAACAATTTGAAGCACTTAGAGATGGTGTGCCCCTTTTAGAGGTGCTCTATTAAAAAAAACAAGATTGATTGGTTCTGTAATCATGCAGCATCCTGGAAATTTTCCAGTAGTCCATTATTAAAAATGCCCAGCTCAAGAGTGCATTTAGACCATCTGCTCGTTAAAGTAATCTAGTAAAGGTCTTCAGAAAGGGCCCACAGCCCAAGCAGCTGGATTAGAAATATCTCATCAGTGCTCTGACTGAAGTGACGCTGCACACAACAACTTACTACTTCAACCTTTTAGGAGAATGCCCTGTCAGCACTTCTGTGCTAACTATGCCAGTCCGAATGGATCTTGCTGAGCCAGCTACTTGATTTAAAATCGTTATATTTTTTTTTGCTGCCTAAGGGCAGAAGTTGGGTACAATGGGTTAGCAAGTATCAAACAGCCACACTTGAACTCAAGTGAAGAAAAAGTCTTGACTTTCAGAATATTTTGTTTTTTATGCCCTCTGTTGACCTTTAAATGTAATTATGAATTAGTTTTAACACTGGGTATTTGGACACATTACTGAGTGGAGACGTCAGATTTTAGGTCATACTGTAGCTCCACAGGACTGTTTGCTTTTAATATGTCTGTAACACAGTTCAGCTCAGCTTGTTTGTTATGTGTACAAGTGCAATGAAATGCTTGTAGTGCCGAGTCGCTCACCAGGGTCATCATATACATTCTAAAAAATTACTGCTGACTTGCAGAGTGCTTCATGGAGCAGAAGAGAGCTTCTCCGACCATATCTTTGCTTACATTGGACATTGGCCTTTGCTCCATTTTTTGGGAAACTGCATGGCCGCTTGAGAAGGCCAGAAATACAGACTCAGAGATGAAACATACTGCTACACTGTCAAATAACTAACTGGAGGAAACTCCCCGCGTGGCGAGCAGTGCTGGGAGGGAGTGGCAGAGCAATGGGTGTGCATGGATTTACACAAGCAAACCTTCAGAATGATAACATTGCTGCACCTATAAAACTCATAAAACAGAAGAAACATACAAACGAGAGGGGACCGTTCAGCACGTTTGTCTTGCTCGCTGCCGGGTAATTAATTTCATGAGCTCCTACTCTTGTTTCTTGAACACCGTTGCAGAAATTTCACTGTCTCTGCTTGTGTTTAGTGTAAGAAGAGTAATCTTCTCCCAGGCAAGAATTAGGTGCTGAGAACGTAAACTCTCATCGGTGACATTAGCTTGACAGATTCAGAAAAAGAAACACAGAAGTGGTACAGTACTGTCACCCTCCCCGGCTGCCTCTGTTATGGGTGTGTGTAAAGGAATATAGTTTAGCCTGGCATGGCAGTGGGGGCGAGCACAGGTAACAGCATTACTCTTTCATTACTACAGCTGAGCAGCTGTGGCAAAACAATTCAGCCTGCTTTTAACTGATTTACACAGTGATAGCAGCCTTGATACCTCGGGCTGTGTCTGTAGACGGCATTAGTAGTGACAGCAGTGTTTTTGATGTCAGAGGGGCTGTTGTTGTTTGAAATGCTTGTACCTGCCAGTTTTTCTTAAGGCAGAATCGTTAATTTGCTGATTGCTGTGCCGAATTAACATACTCCTCTACAGTTTTTCTGTTTCTGTTTTTCTTTCTCTTGTGTATTGTGAATGGGATTAGCCAGCAGAGCATTAGCACTTATTTAACAGGCTCTCTTACCAGTTAATGGATTGTAATGGATTTATTGTTCATAAGAACATTAGAACATCAGAAAGGTTATGAAAGGCAGGAGCCACTCAGCCCATCAGCTCATTTGCCAGGTAGCATCTAATTGGTCCAAAGATCTCATCCAGACATTTATGGAAGGAATCCAGGGCAAAATGTAGATTCCCCAGGTCTCTTCACAGTAAAGCACCATCCTGCTGTGAAACCTTGAAAACCATCTCCTCACTGCGAGAAATGAGACTTGTTACATTATCGACTGCATAACCTGTTGAAGTGTACCTACACATGCTATGTGCCGTCACTTTGATTTTTACGTGTGTGTCAGCAATATGCTTTAACATTGACATCCTGCTTAACATTTGACGCAAAGCTCTTTTATTATGTTGTCACTGACATTTTGGGGGCGCCCCCCTGGAGATGTTTGTACTGTAGGTACTGCACACTAATTGTGTAGCTCCTTGGTTTTCTGACCTCCCTAGGTGAATGCAGGAAGCCCTGTAACTATTAGTTTGTGGTGTCCGTGGCTCATGTATCTTGTCTTCTACAAGACAGGCGGCAAAGTAGATTTAATTTCCTTCCCAGCTCTTTCTAACTGACCCCTGTCTGGTATTCTTACAACACAGTCACCGCTCGATCGTTGTAAGTGGTAAAGGTGGAGGATGACTGTGCACTGTGTGTTTTGTGTGTGTATCTGAAAAATGCTTATTTTGAACAATTGGGATAGGATTAGCACCACAGCTCTGCCTCTCCTGCCATTGAAGAATGATCTTCAGGGGTTGTCCACCCTGGTGGAGCAGGGGAGTACCCTTTGTCTCAGCTTCACTGTTGTTCTCGGAAACAGCATAAAAATTAAATTTCTTATCGTTTATTTGCTGGTGTGGCAGTGATGGGCCCTTATTTCCTCTGCCCGTGGTGCACCTCATTCATTCTGCTTTCTTTAAACATGTCATTGGGACGACAGAAGTAACATCTCTGGCACAAACATGCACAATGGGGACAGAGAGTGTCAGGGGACAAATTTAAATAAAAAAATACTTAACTCAATAGAAAAGTGTCCTAACAAAAACCTTGTAGATGGCCCAGATTAGTCCCAGTATTTTTTTCCTAGAGTTTTTCTTTATGGACAGTATGCTTGCTTATTGCTTGATGAAGAAAGATAAACCAGGAACATTTCTTTTTAGGAGACCGCTGAGGCTGCTGCTTTGTAGAGAGAGGATGCTCCTTAGCACAGCCATGTGGAAAATGTGAACAAACTGTGGCTTCGTGTAGAAGTGAAGCCAGTTATTAAAACTGCGTATGCGCTTTTGTCTCCACAGAAGGCATCCGGAACATGGCCATGGATTCCAGCCAGATGGGAATGCCGATGTCTGATCCGACCGCCTGGGCAACAGCAATGAACAACCTAGGGATGCCGCCAATGGGCATGACGGGGCAGCCACTCATGTCAGGTACTGGATTGCCAGTGGTGCCACAATACAGGGCGAAGTGCACCCAGCACAACACCAAGCTTGGAACTGTGTTGTACTTCAGGTGTTTCTTCTTTTCACAGTGCATAAGACTTCCTGCATGTTGGCTCAGGCCACTCTCGCAGCTGTCTCAGACTGTCCAGTTGGGCCTGTAGCTTAGTGTAGCAAAAAATACTGTGCCAGGTTCGATCAGTGATGTGCAGACTGCAGTGAATCTATGTGATACCATAAAGGAGACATTAGCAAAGACCTGGAACTCCACTACGATGTGAAGCTCATTTACAGTCATGGCAGACATACCTGTGGATTAATACATATAGTATCCGTAGTGTTTTCTCACTTGCCAGTATTGGTCACCTTTCTTTGTCCTGTGGTGAAAATATAAAGGCAGGCCACAAGATCTGATGGACAGCAGCCCTTCCGGTCTTGTCTACAGGTGGTCTGGGGGGAAACGTGGAGGGGGTTTTCCTGCCTTCTGCAGCAGCAGCCCCAGTACAGCAGACCAGCTCGAGAAGTGAGAGGCTGAGTGCATATAGGGAGGCCGGAGGGAAGCTTACCAAAGGCTCAGGGGTCAACAGCCTTAATCCAAGTACTTGTGGAAAAACGTCTGTCAGGTAAAGACTGTCTCAGACCTGTCCGCTTAGCTCTTCCACCTGTTAGGCAAAGTAGCAGAGATGCCATTTCTCTGCGGGGGGCAGAGGAAGTTGCCCAGTGCAGGTCCGTTCTGCAAGGTCAGTCTTCTGAGGAGCTGCGTCATTGGGGTGCCCTTGGAAAGCAAGGCAGACTGTGCAGTAAAAGCACGCTCAGACTGACTGAATATGACTGCAGGGTAATGGCCTGGAACTGAGAAGGTGAATTTCAAACCAGCCGACATCCTCAGCTTTGATTGCACTTAATCTGAATTTTGTTTTTGTCTTCTTCCTTCAATACTGTGGAAGTGTCAGGAACATTTATCATGTCAAACAGGTGATTAATGTAAGCTGTTGTTTTTTTTAAGTAAGACCTTAGTTTGATTGATTCATTTGGAGATGGTGTTTAGAAATTATCTATTTCATCTAATTAAAAGAACATGCTCCCATTCCCATCACCTTCCTCACTGATTGAAGTGTGTGACCATCCTCCCAAGTCTCTGTTTTTGTGTTTAAACGGGAGGAGGGAAGTTCTCTCCACATACTTTATCTACCAAGTTTAATTTGCACAGTTTACTGAGCTAGTTACATACTTTCCTGTGTTGCCTTGGTAGCTCACTGCTTAAAAACAAATTATATACTTTCCCAAGCAACTTATAGACTTCAGTGAATGAGCAGAATACTGAGTGGTGAGTACTGTCAGCCAGATAGAGGTTCTTAATCTGTGAGCCAATGTATCTGGGTTGACTGGTCCTCTCACTGCACTGCTAATGAACTCTGGATTATTGTGATACTGACACTGGTTTTACAATTGCAGTTTGCATCAAGCACACTGCTCTTCCTGGAGGGATTACTAGCTTCAGGAATATCTGGGCCAATCTTTCCCTCACTTCAAACCACATTTCTAAACCACATTTATAAACTGAATTATTAAGACACAACAACAGTTGCATGGCGTGATTCATCTGTTATGATACATAATGAATTGTCTGCACCCATCAAGGTCATTCCTGAGACTTGAAATGTGGACCCAGGCTGCTCATTATCATGGTTTCTCCCTTTGTCCTCAAGCCCTCGGCAGCTTGTTCAAAGACAGACAGCTGCACAGGGCCTGCAAGGCTGCACTTAGCACTGTCAAAAACGGAACATGCAAGTTATAGCACTCCATTTATAGGTTTTAGTTTACATACTGGAGAATTAAACAAAATTAGTTTGGTGCTTATTTTAAATACATGTATCGTTTGGAATCCATAGCTGTGTTTAATGCTTCTAATGTGCAGATGTCCAATGAGGGAGGTTTTGTTTCCAGGTTCTATAGACAGACACTGGCCCCCTTCCCACAGCTGTGTGTGCAGTTCAGGAGGGTTTCATCCAGGGCTTGTCTGAGAGGGCTAGACATAGCGCAGCCACCTCATCTGTCCCCCCATAAACACACGCTCCCCGTTTTTCTCACTCTGGGGGGATGGGGCTGCGGTGGAGTCCTGCAGAGGGGCGCTTTCTGCGGGGAAGCCTGATGAGGGCAGCTCATTAGACCCCAGTCTGTCGGCTCAGGGAGAGAGTCGGACTCTTATCTGCGCTGCACATTAATCAGAGGGGGAAGCAGCTGCTCTGTCCCAGTCATCCTGCATTAAAACAGCTCTTTTGAGCATCTTAATTACAGCAATCAACCCGCTGCCTCAGCAGTTTCCCAATTCAGCTGACAAATAATTCACGTCTCCTCTATAGCCCCCCTTGCTTTGTGCACACATTACTCCCATCTCTTCCATATTGGCTGTTTTTTATTCTACAGTATTGGATTTTGGGTGTGTCGGGTGAAGGAAATGGGCCCCAGTAGTGCCAGTAGTAGTTGAGACAGAATCGCAATGTGAAGGCCGGTGTTCTTGGGGTCGTTTATCAGCAGTCACGTTGTGCGATACACTGCCTCTCCCTTCACAGGTGTTGTGTACAAGACCAATCAGACATAATGAAGCGGTCTGTTTTTGGATCAAGTAACATCAAGGTCACCTCATCTGTTTTTATTCTTTCCCACCTATTAATACTGTACCTCCACACTGTCTTGGTGCAAAAAAAACATTTTGTGTTTCATCTTAACAATTTTTTGTGAAGCCACCATCCTAGAGTACACGTTTACTGGATAGGCTGCAAAGAGTTGTGTTTAAATAACCAAGATTTAAGAGCTGAAACCTTTTATTTATTGATGGATTCATTAATTTATTAATTATAACTTAACTGTGCCAGAACATTGGCATGGCAGGATTAGATTTCTTTACCAACTGCTGCTGGTGATGTGTAAAACATCTGTCTCAGGCGTGCTGCGGCATAGCAATGATTCACTGTTTACTTGCAGCCTGGATTATTTAACTGAGATACAACACTGAGGCCTGCTCAGGCCGGATTTCGCTATTAGACAAGCTAACCTTGTTGGATTACCTTTCTCTGCTGATTCAGCATAGATCTGATAACTTCATATTCGCCTTTAAATAGTTTGTCCTTAAAGAGTTAAATGAATAGTAAAAATGTTTATTTTTGCCTTTAACAAGAATTACATTGTACTGCAGGTGCAGTTTTTCACTTCTGCTCTACACAATGTCTGACATAACATTTGTCAGTGTTGCCTGTGCTGCGTGGAATCTCTGCTTTGCAGTGCTTACACATACACCAACGCCAGATGTCATGCTCTGTGTCTGACCGGACTCCACACAGAATCTGACGACTTGAGCCTCTGCTGTCTGTCGAGCTGAGAGAGGCTGTACAGTCACGACACTGCAGGAGAGCCTGAGAGAATGCAGAAAGCTGTAGAATGCCTCCTGCTCTGTCCCAGGCTGTGTGCAGTTAGTATGATGTCTCTCTCTAGGCAAAGTCAAGTCCCAAATAGCTGAAGCACACATGGTTTTGCAGACCCTTGATCTGTGTTTCCCCAATTATAATTCTCTGAAGACTGACAGGTGTATCACATTACTGACTGCTCTCCACATTCCCTCTCCAGATTGCTTTGCCAAGGAGTGTTGATGAACCCATGCAAAATCCGCAGACTTCCTTATGATTCCTGTTATCAAAGCAACGTTTCTTTTTTATCGTAAATTTTTATTTAGCCTTTTTGTTTTTGTACAGGCACTTCACCAGCCTCCATTAGACAGTGCAGGAGAATCCTTGTACAGTGTCTGTGCCAGAGGAGCAGTGTGCTGTTAAAATATTTAGACCAGATATGACCTGCTTCTGTCCTGGATGGCCAGGCTTTGGCTTTGCAGATACTTTTCAATTAGCACTTTGTAAACTCCTAAAAATAAACAAAAAAAACAAGTGGTTTGAAATCTTATCCAAATGATTAGTTCAGTCAAGTCATTGAGCTCAGGGTTAAAAGCAAGCCAAAGTCGCATGTGACCTCCAAGGACTGGAGCTCATCCCTGTCTTAGATAATCACATCAGTCTTGTTTATACACTGCCAGTTTTAGCCCCTGTGAGAATCTGAGTATTTGAAAAAGACAAAAGAATCATTGTGGCAAAACTATCCAAAAACCTGGTTTTATTTTGTTTTTGTTTTACATCAGAATTGAAGGGCAGGAATTAAAAGTAAGGTCCCTGATGTCTTCCCCTTTTTGACCTTGTTGAGATTACTGTAATGTGGTTATTTTGTGCTCTTCCCTACAGCGGCCTTGGCTCAGTGGACAGGCTCTCCCCTTAAACTCAGGCCCCCAGAGTCTGTTTGGACTCTGTCACAGGGTTTTCACTGAAACCTCTCCTCACATTGGTACCTTCACTGCCTTGGGGACGGGTCACTGTTTGCACCAGCAAGCCTTTGTAAAAAGTCAAAGAAACACAAAGAGCCAGTATTAACATCTGAGGTGGCCAGAATTAATAGAGAGGACTTTTAGCAATGGCCCTATAATTCTGACAACAAACTCCTGAAAATCACCTGTTTAATTTTTTCTTTTTTTCAATTCATTTTCATTGTTAATCATCTCTTCAAACATATTACAACAGCATTGTATTTGCTTGAGGGTAATTCTGTGAAAATTGCTTTTTTATTGTTTGTTTCTTTTCGGGTTCCTGAACTACAAACACCGATTGAGATAAAAAATTAAGAGTTTGTGCCACACGCTTACAAATAATTGGGTTCTTCCTGTTCCAGTAGGAGTTTTATAAGTGTCTCTAATTATACCCCTGGGTTTACACAGGTACACAGTGTACTTATGACACACTCCAATTACAGCTAACACGCTGCAGCCTTTTGGGAAATAAAGCTGTCAAGCCTGCATTATCAGAACTTGAAACTCCCCCCCGGGACATGTTTGCCCAGTTTTATAAAACTGATATAAAAAATATTTATAAATCTATCTTTAGGAAAAAGATAGAGTGCAGAGAGCTTTGTTTTTGCCCGCTGTGCATTCATGGTCTGCATCAATACATCTGGTGTGTACACTTGTGATGAAATAGGGTCCTGCAAAAAGCTCATCTACTTTCAATCTCAATCTGAGATTGAGTCTCAATCTGAGCAGCCCAGTCTTCTACAGCTTGAGCTATACTGGTTGTTTTCTGCTCTGTTCTGCTGGAGGTTGCTCGAATTCACACTGCCCGTTGTTCCTTAACAGCCTGTGTTTGAGATTCTTGAAGTGGCAGAAGTAAAGAGTTGATATCCCTCTCCAGGGCCCTGAAGTCATTGCTCTGTCATTGGTGTGTTTGTTTCTATTTTGTCTTGTGCAGATTAATTGAAACAAGATCAGGATCACCATCCATACAATGAAAGTGTATTTCTCTAAGCACGGCATCCACTGCAGAAACTGTCACTCCTCCTTATGAATGCATACATAAGCATTTCACAGTCCACTGGGAATTGCACTGATACGCATTGTACTTTTAACGCAGCGGATGTTGTTTTGCAAAGTCACACTAAGTTCAGATCCAGGGAGAAGAATAATTTCTAAATAGTGATTCTTTAAACATACAGGTCATCTTAACTCATCCCTGCACTGAGAGTCAGGAGCAAATCCTTCCATGTGCGGTACTTTCACGTACAGCATTTTAGCAGGGATTTTAACAACAAGTCCTCTTAGACAGACTCCAGTCGGGGCTGTGCTGAGTGAGTCAGGCTGTGGCTACAGAAGTCTAGCAGTGGCAGGGGTGCTAGACATCTTTATCAGAAGATGACCAACATACCCCAGAGATGTCTGTCCCTTCCATGTGCCTGTACTGTATGTGGGTCCGGGCTTAGTCTGCAGGAGAAACTGCGAATATGGGCTTTTTTCTCCACTCATGTCTTTTTCCATTTCTGACGGGCAAAGGCCTCAATGACTTCACTTAATATGAGTGCCAGAGCTTTTCTGCACTTTTTTCCTGTGCCTGCCAGCTGATTGATAGCTAGCTTATGCTATGTAATTAAATTCAGCAAACCTAAAGGAAATAGATTGTTAAACATTGTGCTGGAAAGAGACTGATGAGAGATACAAAGAAAACGTGCTCGGGACCTTGTTATTGTCTGCCCCTATGCTGACCCTCCAGTTGAAAACCCAGAGCCTGATTATCATCTGCAGTCTGGCCTTACCCCTAGGAAGAGTGAAGAACAGGGCATAGCAGTTAAAGCTGAGTGTAGTAGAGCAGTGTGCTGTTTCAAGAAATTCTTTGCCTCCGTGGTAGATTTTATTGTTTCCTCTTTTTAAAGGCACCTAATGTATTAATTTCATATCTGCACAGCTGGAAAAGCAAAAGCTCAAATTTACCTAACTCCACAATCTCCAGCTTAAAAATGTTTTTTTAAGTAATTTTCTTTTTTTTACTGTATGCCCAAATATAAACATTCTTGAAAGTTGTATATGTATTCCTTAAGCAGTCACTTAAGGAACATTTTTATATAGATATTAAAATTTCAGTCTGTTCCATAATCACGTTGTTTTCTGAGCATTTATAAGTTATCTAGAATGCTAGAGCATTTTTATGTAACTTTATAAATGAATGGATTACTGCTGTTGATCATGAAACTGATATTTAAACTCCTGAAACTATGATGTGTATTAAGAATGTGCTGGGGCTCCTCACAAAGTGCTCCCACACTTGTCAGCGCTGTGCCCGTTAGCTCTGTGCCAGTGGATTTGTAGAGCTCTGCCTTACTCCCGGTTCTTCAGCTCTTCCCCAAACTTCACAGTGATAAGCATTGACTTAGTAGGTTAGGAGTTTAAGCCCTTGTGTGCATAAGAGTACCAGGTACTCTTCTGATATTTACACACATAGCTATGAAAGCTCAGGAGGAACTCACCGTCTGTTCGGTGAGAGTCTGTGGCTTGTTCTTCCCTGGAAATGTGCAGGCTGGAGAAAGGAAAGCTGGGCCCTGGAGGCGGGCGCAGGACAGCTGCGTGTGCCTGAGTCCCTGAGACAGATGGAAAGGAGCGATTGCTGCCCACACCTCTGCCGCTCAGGCCTGCTGGCCCTGCAGTGACTGCTGACACTGATTGGCCCTGACTGTGATGAGATCTGCTTCAGGGTCACTTTGCTGCAGGCTGGCGGGGCATGGAGTGCCTCCCTTGATGCCTGCTGCCCTGGACCTCACAGCTACTTTTGCTACTGCAAAAGAGCCTCTTAATAACAGTGACCGTAGCTTGAAACAGCTTGGAATCAGAAACCATATCTGGCAAATCTGACTCTGCTTTCCCATCTTTCACAGACGAGGGATAAAGTATCCCAGGGCTTTGTGTGCTGGTGGGTTTGTTATGCTTGCTTTTTTTGGTTTCAAAGCCAGTATCTTTTCAACCACTCCACGCTGATTTCTACATGCCCATCGCCTCAGCTTTGGTACGCTGTTTGCCGTGATCCATTACTAGCTGGGCTGCAGCTGATAGCGGTGACATTACTGGCCCAAAAGTGGTCCAAGATCGCTGTATGTGGTTGGTACTTAACCGCCCAGTACAGCAAGTGGTAGGTGAAAATCCTCTGTGTTTTTCACTTTAAATAAATAATCACATTACAAATTGTAATAGGATTTGCCTCATGTGTGGTAGCATCCTGCTGTAGAGATGATTTCCACAAGGAACTATGCATGCAGCATGCCCATGGCGAGCTGAAGCGTGTTGGCAGTAGCTGTGTGTGTCAGAGCTGGCCGAGGGGGGGGTGGCCAGATGTGGGCCTTGGCATTCTTGAGGACTGCTTGGTGAAGCACAGCATGCCTTGTGAGAGTCTGCCATGGTGAATTTATCCTTTGCATTTCACGCTGTTGCTCTGTTTTTCTGTTTTCCTGCAGTGTTCTCTGCTGAAACCCTAAAGTATGGTAAAACACTAAGAAAACTAAGATTCACCATGGCCAGTTTCATTCAGGTGTCTCCTGCTCCAGGACCTGTTTACTCCACTCGGCCCACTTTGCAGGAAAGGGAATAGAGGGTTCTGGTTCCTTTCGGTTTGTTTCTGGAGGTGAAGCTGTGCAGTAAATAAGAAAAGAAAATACAGCAGCTCTTCAGTAAGCCCTTGGCTTCTCTCCCATCTGAGAAGCTGCTGTTTGGTGCCTGCTTCACTGTTTCCTGTGTTTCTTTTCCTTTTATATCCTCCTGCACTGGCTGCGTTTTCCTTTGTTATTGCGCTTGTCATTAGCTCAAGCTGTCAGTCTGCGCCACTGTCGTACTCAGCAGTGTGACAGCTGCCGGTCTGCACCTCCTATGTGCCAGCTACTCCATCTCCTCAGCCCTTCTGCTGCAGCGCCTACACCAAATGCAGTTTCTCCTTTTCAGGTTTATCTTTTGAGGAGTTTTTCATGCACACACTTCAGTATTAGTATGTGCATTTCTAATGGGTGATCTCTCAGAGTGTTGTGAGACCAGCTGTCCAAATATTGTAACTGACGGAAATCTGATTGAAGCTGACTTGGTGACACAGAGAGAATTTGAATTTACGGTGTATTAAAAACCCAACTTAATATCAGCAACATCTGTTTGCATACGTTTTCTTTCATGTCTTCTACTCCATCGTCAAGTTCTGCTAACAGCTTCTGTAACAATTTTGCATCCTTTCATCTTGCTCTGTAGCTTCCGATTTGTTTCCCTGTTTTGTGGTGTACAAAAAGAAATTGAGGTTTTTGGTAAGAATGCAGACAGTAGGCACAGGTGAGAGAGGGGAAAGAAGATGATGGTATTTCCATTTCACACAATTTCGACAGAGGAGAATAGCATCAGTGCAGATCAATACCACATATGAAAGCCTCTGTTCTTACCAGGGTATTTATGTGTACTGACAAGCAGAGAATAAAAATTACAAAAGGGGGAAAATGAAAATACACTTGTAAAGGTTAACTCTGGAAAGAGAACAAAGTTTAAAAGGCAGTCTGTAAAAGCTGGAACTGGAGTTTAGATTTTATTTATTTTTGATGTAGTTGGGTTTTTCTTCTTTTGACAAGAGACAAATGACATATCTGAACAGCCCCATGCACACTGCAGTCCGCAAACAAATTTTGTCTTTGCTTTCTCGGTGTCCTGTGCAGATTTTGATCCAGGTCTTGGCATGATGGCTGGCATTGCTCCGATGATGCCCGGGCTGGGAATCGTACCCCCTCCCATCTCCCAGGACATGCCGATTGTGAAGGAGATCATCCACTGCAAGAGCTGCACCCTGTTTCCTCCCAACCCCAGTAAGGCTGCCGCGGTCGCTGACCCACACATGTGGCCACTTGCTATGTGCTTTGCTGGCAATGTGTTTTAAAACGTGTTTTACATTTTACAAATCTGCAGCATGACTTTCAACGCCTCTCCTTCTGTCCTCATCTTGCTCTGTTATATTCTTCCCTAAATTGAGACAGTGGCAGATTTAATTAGTTTTTTTATTTCCTCCAGCATTAAAAGATTGTATTGACAATGGCAGCGTAACCTCAGACGGAGACTATAAAGGCTTCAAGGTCTCTTGTAACATTTCTGCAATCCGGAGGATAATGTACAAATATCTGGGGGAGAGCAGTGATGGTGAAGTTTTAATATATCTCATTGAGTTTTAAATTCCATTTCCATATGCAGTGCCGATGCAAAATGTAAATCAAAAACATTTAAATAGCGCTCAACATAAGTGTGAAAATCCACTTTACAGTATATGATGTGTTTAATACTTAGCAATGGAGAAAAAAACAGTTGCAAGCCCAGCTGCGTTTTTTTTTAAGTTATGCGCAGCAATATGTCTGAGCTCCTGCTACTTTCTGACATGTTTCCTCTCGAGACTCGAGGTTTGCATTCTGATCCAGACAAAGGAAGACAAAGTGGGAGAGCTGAGGACTCACCTGTAATCAGAGGTGTGACCTCAGCAGAGTGTGATGGACTAACCCCATCCATAAACCCCCTTCTGGGGGCAGAGCGAGTGGGCGGTGATCAGCTCTCAGATCAGGTGTACAGCCCCGACCGCAGCTAACTACCAGGAGGGGGGGGGCTTGCTGGAATCTCATCTTTCAAACCACACCTTCTACCTCTGCTTCGGCTTCTTCTTTGGAAAAGCATATGAAAAGAGAGAATCAAAGGGATACATCATATCAGCAGTACTCATTTTTAATGATACAATGTATAACTTATAATAAAAATAATGTTTTTATTGGCCCCACAGTGTGCCGTTCTTGGTACACACTGATGCCTGGGTTTAGTCCTGGCCTGAGTTTCAAAGATCCTCTTATTCAGTTGGCCTTATGCAATCAGGACATGTTTATACTGAGGCATCTATTGATCCTCAGTCTTCTGTATTCACATGAGCGTTGGAAATAGTGAGATGATACAGTATATGAAACAGGCTATTCAAACCCAAAAATAAAAGAATAAATTTACATACCAGGAGCTGAATACAGAAGAGATGGTGAGTCCCTTTTTGTTATAAAAATCATGATTTCCACTGGGGAAATTAAATTAACTTGAATGAAAAAAAATAATTAATTAATATCAGTGCTAGTTATAATATTCTAGTCTGTCTCAATTCCCTACCTGGTAATTCACAAGCAGTTATGTTCAAGGAGATGTGTATTAATGAGTTTCCACCATGCTCTAAAGGGTTGTTCAGCATTGAAATCTACTCAGGAGAAGGTGCTGCACAGTTTCTGACAGCTGCAGCCAACTTCTTTTAAAACAAACAAATTCTATTTCAATAGGCATTTCTGGAAAAGTGTTGCTTTTAATTAAGACATCGGCTCCACACCTGTCATCAGTGTTCCTGTTTCGCAACTTGGACAGTGGGGGACTGGCCCAGAGACCGCCCGCACAGGGGCCTCTGTCCCTCCTCTTTGGGCCTCAGTCAACACAAAGAGCTGTGAAATCGGAGGGCAGGGAGAGGGACTTCTGCTGGTGTGCCTCTGGTGCTGCTCTATCATTTACATCGCAATCAGTGCAGTTTTTCCCCTCTCACTTCACAGCTGGTTAGGGGTCTGCTGACTCGTATCCCTTCCCCGAAGGGGATTGTGCAGGCTGGTGCTGCTGCCTGAAACCACCAGACTCAAACTCAGCCCCCCGGTCAAGCTTTCCTGACTGTCATTCCTTCTTTGCAAGTTTTATCGTTTCTCTCCATCGTTGCTTGTCACGTTTTTTTAGATAGGGAAATGCTCTTGAAAGGAGTCACAAGGTTTGTTTTCCTCTGTGTTTGTCTTGGTTAGATAAAAGGCAGTCAGCGTGTCTTTGAGCCGGTGTGCTGCCCTGCTCGATTTCATGAATGGCAGATGGCACCGATTGCTTGCTGCTGCTTTTGTGTTTTTAATCAGGTGTGGCAATTTAGGATATTGCTGTCTACTTCACATAATTCAGCCGCTTTTTGATTTGATGTGCCACAGAATTGGGCCTCTGGGCATGTGGCAGGCTAATTCCTGTGTAATTCACATGGTTTTTTTTTTAAGCCTAGGGATTCAATTGCTCCTGCAGCAAAAAAAATCCCAAAAACTGGAGGTGGCAGCTGCCCTGTTTCTCATCACAGAGTTCATATGGGTACTGGATTGCTGTAGTTCTTGGTACTGTATGTGACTGATGAGCTCATACACTTGATTAACTCCGGGCTGAGTCCCTCACCCTCAGACAGAAGACAGGTTGACAGAACAGAGCTGACCAGCTCGATGTTCCACTTATGGCCAGGAAACATCTGGCCTCCTGATACGCAGCATGTTCAGGGGTCTGAAACAGCCATGTAGGTAATTACTTTATTGATCATGCTTCAGCATGTTTATTATTTAGTAGAAGTATAATAAATGTATAATAAAAAAAATAAGAATTTCTTTTAACGTAATTCTAGGGAACCGTATGAAATAAAGTCTGTCTCTTTGAAAGCATTTACTCTTGTCTCTGATCAGAATTTAATAAAAGAGATGTAGAATATGCCTGAATTGGGAAAGATGTATATAATCCATGATGGCATTTCTAACATCTATAATACAGTACTCGAGGGCTGAATGCATATCATTAAGAATCTGAAAAAAGTGAAAGATAGTTTGCCTTAATGGGTTGTTGAGCTATTCAAAACATAACTTTAGTGATATAATTATTGTACATGAAGGCAGGAATAAAAGATATAGAGAGTATGTATCTGTGGAATGACCTTGGACGCCATTGTTGGAATCATTAGAAGTGTGGTAGGGCTAGATTTTGTCATGGCAAATCACAGGTTGCAGTGATGTTTCTTAATAGGACGATGGTAATGTAATTCCCTGAGATCCCTGCTGCTAGCAACAAAATGGGCTAGATGGGTTGAAAAGCCTTCTCTCCTTTGTCACCTTTCCAAGCTCGTTATGTCACTCACTCCGGGCTGTCAGGAGTGCTGTGCGTTGTTCCGCGAGCCTCACCTCCTCCGCAGTCGGTACCTTGTCTGTGAGTCAGGGCCCTGTCCAGGCCCGTGTGGCAGTGGAAGAACGTGTACATGTGCTTCCCGTCACAAAGGGTTAGACCTGCGCTTTCTGTCCTCATGGGCTCTGAAACTCACTCACCTTTACATTGATAATGCTTTGAAATTACCTTAAAAGACAAAGCTGTGTTACGTAGCATTTCTGTTGCGGATGTAAGTATTTCTACACCCCACTGAATACATTTTTTCACTTTTGCATCTGTGGCATGCTGCTCTCCTGGCCAGCCTGGCTTCCTCAGAAGTGCTGTAGATTGGTGGTTTCAGTGTGTGGGACTCCGAATCAGAGGCCGAAGTCACTGCAGAGCCCGGCAAAGCTGAAAGAGGGAATTAAAGCCACCCTCCCATATCCTCAGGTTCACAGGATCAGAGCCCTGCTTGTGCTCCTCTCATCCCCACACCTTACAAAGAAGTGCTCAGGAATCCTTCAGTAAGCCCCTCATTTCAGCTCCACTGCGCTGCTTGAAAAAAGATCTCTCTGTCACCAAGTTGCAGGGCAGATGAAATCCCATCCGCCTCTCTGAAGCCTGGTGGCGTTTTTTGCATTTGATTCGTGCCTTGATAGGAGGTGCAGACCTCTGTCTGTACTTATTACTTCCAGAGAAGGGCATTATTCCCCAGGGCAGTCGTGAACTCGGGCTATCACTAACAGTTGTCATTACTGGACAAGCAAGAATCGGAGATCCCAATCTCTAAGAACCAGGACTGGAAATCAAAGTCAAAAACTACATTAAAAGCCGCCCAGCTCTCCGTCCCAGCGAGCACGGGAAGGTGACATGTCACTTGGCAGAGACCTGCTTCGCTGGCAGCCCGCGCAGCCTTCCGACACACAATCTGGCCGCTGCTGGGCCGCCTCGCTGCCAAAAATCCTCTGAATGTGCTCTCGCTGAGAAGGAGAAGGCAACTTCCATGACCAAATCACCCAGGAATCTGAATGATTTCAAAGCACGTCAGCAAAGAGATGAATTAACACTCCCTCTCTCCTTAAAACCTGTCCCCTCCTCAGCCTGGGACCGGTCTCTAGAACAAGGCTCTGTTACGAGTTGTTGTTCTGACTGGAGAACTATTGTCCCTGTCAGGAGCAGTACAAGGCAGGGAAATAGCTTTCTTTCTTAGACTGACATGACATGAAATAAAAAAATATAGAAAATTCTCAAAAGTAATGCTTTAGCCTTTCTGCTGTAGCATAAAATAAATTTAAAAAAACTTGTAAGATGTGTTAAATTTTGTCCCCTACAGTTTTAATTTCAACCTTAGCGAAAGGGATACAAGCATTTATTGCAGGCTGATGTCACATTGGTGTTGGCACCACATAAAGCAGAAAATTCTTATAATAGAAGTAAGGTTTTATCTGCACTTGCAATAAGGATTGCAAGGCTAATAAATGCTTCCTCAGGTGACTGATCCATATTATTAGTGCAAAGTAAGAATCCACTACTAAAAACATCAATTGTAAGTAGTTCTCAGTGACACCACCTTGGCCGATGTGCCCAGCAGTGATTACAGACCATTTGCTGCAGCCGTTATTTGAGCCTGCAGTTCAGAGCCAGTACTGTTTCTGCTGCTCAGGGGTAACATTAAAGCAGCCCTGGAATGCAGTGTTGAATGGTTCATCCAGAGTCATCAGACCCGGTGATCGCTGGCATGTGTTTGACCAGTGCATTCTTTCCTCCGGGGCAAGGGCTGGAGGCAGTGCTGGCGGGATGGCCATCACTGGGGAGGTGATCGGGGGGGATTTTGAGGTGGCATGCCACCCAGAGCTGTCCCTCTGTAAAGAGCTGGCAGTCACTCTGCTGCCCTTTACTCTGTGATAACAGTCTTACTGGTGCAAAGCTTTTGTTATATCAGTTACTAGTCAACCAAGGACCTTGAGTTTTATGAGATGAGAAAAAAAAATTAAAAGCAACAGTGCAATAAACAGGAATTAAGCTAATCCTGGGCATGATGGATGGTGTCTGTTCTGTGCGGGGGGGTTGGGGGTGCAAACTATTTCCAGTGTGTGGCCGGGGGCCAGCTCTGTCACAACTTTTAAAGTTTGCTCCTAGACCCCTCGTCTGCTTTAAACCAGCGCTGCTCATCAGTGCAGGAAACACAGTGCCTGACAACCCTGTCTGTTACTCTGTGGTGTTGTAATCGACAAAAAAAAATTTCTGAAATGTTTCACGAGTAAAAACTTTATCTGTATGTGAGTATGTGTGTAAAAAGAGCCTGCATGCAAATCTTCAACATTCAATTTTTTTTTGTTTAATTTTCCTGAAACAAATTTGGTCATGTCTCTGCAAATTGTGAAGTACCCATATAATAAAATGAGTTATTTGTAAAAGAAACATTGATGTCTTCAACAAAGACCTGTCTCCAGTGTCCTGATGAGGGCTTCTTTCCTTCAAAGTCCACTTTCAAGTCTGTCTGCGTACCTGGGAACCCATTGAATATAAGTGCTCTTGATTCATGTATATGTTTATGTATTTGATTTATATTCTCAGCTTTTCTCTTTTTTGAATATTGAGACAGTGCAGGAATCTTTTTTTTTCCTTTGACATGATTGTTTTGTGCCATTTTTTCTTTAGCAGCTATTTCAAGTGATTTAAATGGAAGCATACCTCCATTTCAAAAGATTTTCGAAAAACCATTATGTATTCAGAAATGCTTTAAACTAATAAGCGTCAGCAAGTTAAATATTAAAACAAACATGTGCATGTATATTTAACCGTTAACGTGAGAGCTTTTAGAAGAAAATACAATTCCGTGCAAAAATTCTGCTTCAGGCTGTCTTAACTTCAAATTACACTGTCTCTCGCTAATGCAATAAAGCAAGCAGTCACGACTTATCTCTCAGTGCTTTCAGACACCCTGGCACCCAGCTGTTTCATCAAAATAAGGAACTTGAGGAACCTTGAAGTGTTCAACTGTAAGCTACAAAAAGGCAAATCAGCAGTGGGTTCTCTTATTGTGTACAGCGGTATTCTGCCTTGGGGGCAATGAGCACCTGAGTTTCTTTTCCACAAGACCATAAAGGGAAATTCCAGTGTTCTGTTTATATTGTACACTGAGTTGGAGAGGTGTAATTTGTGTCTTAGACATTTGCCTCGTTCGGTTGCAAAAAGACAGACCTCTGATGATCTATAGAAACTGTAGCCATTTTGTTTAAAACTAACAGTTAATCCTGACAGATTTGTATTATGTTGTACAAAGCCTTTTATCTTTAGGGATGAGTAGAGAGGAACGCATGTTTGTTAATGACGAGGAACACCTGGCAAAGAGTCAATTAGATCTTCATGGCAAATGTGCTGGATTAGCTACTACAACACCTCACACTGGCTGCTCGTGTCGAGTTTATACTGCTGTTAATAAAGATTTGGATCCTGTCTACATCAACAAGCTGTTACCTCTCTGTACAGCTACACGTTGTTAGTACTCTCCAGATAGTGCTCCCAGAACGAGGAGCCAAACGCTGGGAGACTGTACTATTCTATTCTTTTGCACTTTTCAATCTTGTCCTACATGTCGTTTATACTCTAGCTTTTAGTTCTGCTTAATTTACTGTTGTAATGTGTGTGGGATGTACCACAAGTTATTGTGAGATATAAAATAAGTTATTAGCTTAATGTGCATTTAGTATTACAGACTGCTAAATAACAAGCTTGGTTTCTTCTTAATACATCTAGGCTGCATTAATAACAATTAAGTTGTAACTATAGTAGGAAACCCTAATTGAAACTTTACTGTAAGTAAATTGTTGATGCTCATAACATACACAGCCTCACTGGGTCTAAGATGCATCTATTTTTGCTTTACTTTTACTATTGAAACCAGTGAGAGAATACTGATTTGTACAGGTAACACTGATCAGTCTGGACAGAGGTCCAAGCTGTAGGGGCCCTAAGGAAATCACTGAATAATAATGAACTTAGGGCCGAATAACCCTACCCATGTAAGGAAAACCAGTAGGGGGAGAGGATGAATGAGGAACGCATTGCTCAAAATAGACAGCTCGTGCCTTGGGTGTCTGAAAAGAATACTTTCCCAGTCTGCAGGCACACAGACTCATGAGTGCAGATCAAACCCCCGTCCCTTCCTCCCGCAGACCTGCCACCCCCGGCCACCAGGGAGAGGCCCCCCGGCTGCAAGACGGTGTTCGTGGGCGGCCTGCCGGAGAACGCCACCGAGCAGCTCATCGTGGAGGTGTTCGAGCAGTGCGGCGAGATCATCGCCATCCGCAAGAGCAAGAAGAACTTCTGCCACATCCGCTTCGCCGAGGAGCACACCGTAGACAAGGCTCTCTTCCTCTCCGGTACGCCTCTTCCAGGCCAGGCTGTGGGCTACCTCCTGGACTCAATTACACCTGGCACATGGGTTCTCTAATCCCCTCGCTTGACTTGCTAGGAGACAGTACCAGGGCCCTGCCCTCCTGAGCAGGGAGAGACCCTGCAGGGGTCGACACAGAGAAGGTGCAGGAGAAACCATAGCCGCAGGGTAATAAATCCCTCTCCCACATTTTTATTATGCTTTAAAAAGCAGATAAATCATGGGAAGAGTCTGGAAATACTCTTAGATATCCTCTTTCTGAGGTCTTTCTGCTTTCCCTATCTTACATCGGTTTCCCAACAAGTAGACTTACTCTAGTGATCCCGTGTATTGCACACTGTGGGACGTATATCCAGGTTTCACAAAGGCCATTAAGAACAGTACACTTTGATAATACCCCTGAATTATTTATGATTTCTTTTCAGGGCACTCTCTGCTGGGCTGGAAATATTAGTATTGTGAGACACCGGCAACGCTCCATATATTATATAGCCATATGACAGTTCCTCATAGGCCTACCCATAAATAATCCTACTTATTTTTTGCACGGAATACACCTTATAAAATATTTAATGACTACCGGGAGCAGTAAAGCATGAAAGAAGGAGACATAAACTGCAAACCTGTTCTTGTTTCTGTCAGTGGGGCTCAACAGCCATGACCACTGTGGCTCTCCAATTGCGCAACAAGGCTTCTTCTGTCCTGGGGCAAGAGGTTGCTGTGGTGAGCTGAAGGGACCTGACTTGGGCTGAATACAGTAGATGAGATGCAGGTTGTACAAGCAGCCGTGGTCTGAAATTAATTGATAGGAAATATTAAAGAGTGAGCCGGCACAGACCTAATGGGGAACAGTCAATGAGCAAGAGCTTTAACTCAGTTTTCACACTGCGTTGCTTTAGCATCCTCCTTCCCTCTCGGTGCTCCCAGCCAAAACCACCAAAAGAGAATTGAACCTGTCTGAAGAACTGATCATGTTTCCTTATCTCTGTACAGTGTGACACCTCTGGGGTGCTGGGCTCTTTCCGGCTTGTCCTCTAGCCAGTACTGGGTGAATCTGTGCTCTGCTAGCACACAGGTCTTAGTGTTTCAGTCAGGAATTGCAAAACAGAAAAAAATATATACAGTATGTTCCTTCTTTTGGAGGCCTAATAATATTTTTCCCAAATACTTTTTTTCCCAGATGGGTAAATTTTTACTCCTAATGAATTCTACAAACGTAAAGGACACTTTTACTCTTCTGAACAATACTCATCAAAAACAAGGCTTCTTCTTTGCTTTATCCTCTAGTCTGTCAAGACCCTCACAACCGCTTGGCCTCCAGCGGCAGACATCTCACTTCAGTCTCCCATATCCTTATATTCACTGAGCACAGGCGTTCATTGACAGTACCTGTGTACTGTGTATTGACAGTTAGCTCCGGAATCCACAAACCCACAAATGACCCTCATTATCCCTTAGTCCACTGGGAAATGCAGTGCCCTTCTGATAAGCTATTTGTACTACAGACACAAAATGGGGGTAGAAACTGAAAAGAGTCTGGAAATACTCTCAGTCATCCTCGGTACTTTGTGCTCTGTGCTTTCCCTATCTTCTGCAGTATCCTAGGCCCGTAACTGACTCCCCCTTCGACCCCTACACTCCATATTCTGTCACAGCAGTTATTCTTTTTTCTCATTCTGGACATCGTAGCTGCTAAACAGCACAAACAGATTAATAAGGTAGGATGTTGTTTTCTGAAGGGTAGACACATGCATGGACAAATTAGTAGTCTTCCACCTGTGTGGGTTTGGAAAGCTGAGTTGCAGATTTCTTCTAAAGATGGATGTGTGGAGGGAAATAAGTGACAACCAGATGGCTGTAAAGAAATGTAAAGCAGCCCTTTTCTGGTCTTACGATTCACATAGCAAGATTGTTTGTCAAATCACATTTCTGTGACTGGATTAAGCACAGTGTTGAAGTGTGGTTAAAACCGTGACGCCACAAATGAGTTTACACTGAAATTAGCATCAACCTAAATTCACAAGTTCTAGCCGACAGCAAAAGAGCGTACTGTCATCAAGAGTTCAAGGAGGAAGGCTCGCTTTAGGAGTGTAATGTTAAAACCACAAATGAAATGGGTCTTTAGATGTGTTTATCCAACAGATTACTGCCTGTGGGGTTGTAGCATAGGTTTAGTATAAAATCCCAACCCCTTCCCAGTTTTACCTTTCAAAAGAGGGTTGGATGTTGAAATGTGGGCTGTTAGGTTTTTTTTTTGGTTTCGCCACATTTCCAATGTTTGACTCAGGTCTCCTATTCTTGTTCTTTCGCTGTGTGGTACTGTGAGGAAAAATGATTTCTGTGCCCACATGCCCACACATGTCCCCACTCTCTCCTGTCACTCAGGGTACCGGATCAGGCTGGGCTCCAGCACGGACAAGAAGGACACTGGGCGTCTGCATGTGGACTTCGCTCAAGCCCGGGACGACTTGTACGAGTGGGAGTGCCGGCAGCGCATGCTGGCCCGCGAGGAGCGCCATCGCCGGAGAATCGAGGAGGACAGGCTTCGACCCCCCTCCCCGCCTCCCATCGTCCACTTCTCCGAGCACGAGTGCAGCCAGCTGGGCGAGAAGATCAAAGGTTTGGGATTTCTCCCTCACCCATGCTCCCTCACCGGCCCGACTCGGGCAGGGTCTGTCGCTCTGACCCACAATCCCCTCCCTCACCGGCCCGA